TATATATATATATATATATATATATATATATATATATATATATATATATATATATATATATATAAATAAACGGGGTGTCCCAAAATAACTTTCAAAGTTCTCGTGGATGCATAGTACGGATTGAAGTGAATATAAAAGCTCTATACTGTTTTGTGATATTCGCAATTATCGAGATATTAATTATAAAAATATCCCGTATCATTTTCCTAATAATTTTGTAGATTTCTAATTATTAATTAAAGAAGATTAGCGCATGATTACTCGCGATAATATATTAATGTTATCCAATTAATAACTAAAAATCTAAAAAGTTATTAAGAAAAAGATAGAGGATCTTTTTATTCAATTTGACATAATGTAGAAGCACACGATGGTAGATGTCGCCATTACAGCTTATCTATCATATCTCTCATCATTCATAAACCTTCTTCGATTGATATCTCGATAATTATGGCGAATATTGCAAAATGGTATGAGATTTTTATGTTTACTTTAAGCCATTCTATGTGTTTACGAGAGTTTCGAAAATTGTTCTGAGACACCCTGTGTGTTTATGTATACTATATATATATATATATATATATATATATATATATATATATATATCACACAGAACCAACTCTCCTACAGAGCTTTGATATGCAACATTAGGTTACTAATTAGGTAGCGCGTCTATTAACTTAACTTTGAAGTTCATAAGCGTCAAGCAAACACAACGTATCGCTGTCATACATTTATTCCTTCAACTGTTGTATTAATTACGCGCGTGAATACTACGAAAAGCTACTGTGAATTACATTTCCTGTGAATATCACGATGTCACGAGTACGGCGAGTGTTCAGATGTGATGATGTGATAGAGACTAAAATCTACGGGCTACGTTCACAAAATCAGTGTGATATGATACTCGAATAGCTTAATCGAAATGAAGTGTGGACCAAAGAAAGAAAGAAAAAAAAATTAAATAAAATCGAAACAAAATAAAACAGAATGGTATCGAACGAGACGAGCGGATGACGATTAGTGATGATGTTAACGATATGTGACGGGTGAGTAATAATAAAAATGGTAAATATCTTACAAGTGCGCTTGCAATTTGTTGGGAAGAGCATTCTCTTCCTTTCCACTACCAACCAACCACGCCATGCAGAAGAATGTAGAACAGTGTAGACAGAAGTGGGTAGAAGATTTAATACAAAAAATGAAACAAGACAGCAGTTAGGTGATTGTTCCGGCACCATTAATTATTTGATTATAGCTTATTCTCTGACTTGCAATGCTCGATTCGCATTACTTCCCGCCGAGTGCGTCAAAGCACGGCGTTCTCTCACACGGTAAGGAAAAAAAAAAAAACACAAAAAGAAAGAAAGATCGCAAGGGCTGAAACTTGTAACATGGAAAATGTCATCTGCAATAATCCGAATCGGGATTGCAACAAATTCTCTTTTCTTTTTTCACTACCATCACCAAATCGTTCATAATTTCTTCTTTTTTTCGAGATATCGTAAAAATCGAAGAAATATTTATTTGTTTTTTCTGCTTTCTACTATAACAATTTCGCACAGATTTACTGTGTGGCTATGCTTCCATCAGCAAGACACGTCGCTTAAACACAGCGATATACAGGGTGTTCCCCAAAGAAGAATGAATATACGTGAAAAATAATATAATTCTACAATATTTTACTCATATACGTTTATCTATGAAGTCTATCGAATCAAGGATTCACGTACAACGACCCGTGAAATTCGGAATCTATGAAAACGGTACAGATCTATGAAACCTAATGTCTACGGACTGAAGAGTCTCGTGCCTTTAAAAGACGTTAAAAAATAATCACTACAGCTTAACCGAAACACTTCTCGATGATACTTATCTTGCCGCGTGACACGGATTTGCATTCGAAATCAAGAATCTCACGAAACGGAGAATCCGTGAATCTACACAACTTGTGGTCCGCACCACTGAAAACCACTTTCGAGAGTCGTCTCGACGGAATTTTTGGAATGGCGCACCCTGCATACGTACACGACAGTCTCTGTGTGACAATCGAACGATATACTCGTGTATATCCTAGGTATATATCACAGCAATACAGTGGTGTGTCGAACGAACGAAATCTGCGGTCATTCCAAACACAGGACTCATAAACCAAAACCAAAAAAGTCAGCATGGCCGCCAAAAAGATGCGTGACAACAAGATCCGCGTTCGGGAGATCTCTTTAAAGCGAGTAAAGCTTGCGAACGTGTAAACCGAAAGCACCAAACAAACATCTCGACTGCTACGGTTTCGACGGGAGGATCAAATCTCGAACGTGACGGACAACGGGCGGACTCTTGACTGGTATATATAGATATATATGTATGTACGGTATATATATATACAGTTCGCAATTCACGGTGGTGGTTTACTATGAACAGGCTACTAGGAACCACTTGTGCTTACTTTGCGCTAGCCAAACGGGAGTGCTCCTTGCTCTTCATCGCCACGGTGGTGTTCGTGTGCCGGCACATCATGTAGATCGCCATCGTCAGAAACACCAGATTCGCCTGCAAACAGGGAAGGTTAGGTTGATCATCGTTGCGTTCTCGTTGCGACGATATTATTGTCGTACGGTGGAGTTGAGATCTTCCTTAAACGATGTTAGGACAAGCGATCGTGAGCGAGAAACTTGTCACCAACGTCGTTTTGGCCGGTTGTTTGCGCTATTTAGTCGGCTAATAATGCAATTTAGCTAATTACCAGTATAACGAGTAATACAGGCCCAACGAAGCTGAAGATGAAATAATTATCTGCTCGTAGCCAGCAATACTGATCGGTACCATAGCTGAGTGGATCGATTATGCACGAAATTCCAACCACTAGCAACGGTGCGCCGTATGCAACCAGATAGTACCATCGGAGTCGAGATTTTTCTGCCTCGAAAACCTCAATCAGCATCACGTATAATTGGAATCCTGCAACGTGACGTGTAATTCCGTGATTGTGTACTCGAAATGTAAATACCGTGCCTATCAATACGTATGCCCTACCCTACAAGACTAAAATTATATAACAGGGGTATCGTATTATTATTTTATGATTGATTGTAAACGCGAATCCAAACTCGATTATTAACAACGGTATTATATTTTGTTATGGAATTATTTTGTGGATAACACGCACTAAGCACTTCTCACCAACATAAGATTTGTCACGCGGAAATTTTTCGCTAGAAAATTCTAAGAAATACTGGATACTGACATAATGCAGCTTTCGTATTTGTTTATATTTGCTTATATAAAATTGCAAATGCTTATTCAGAGTAAACGTACAAATGTCAATGAATGGCGGAATATGTTATAACTAAAACAAGAAAGGTTCCAAATAAAATAATTACAGGTAAATTAATTTTTTATAACGTGATTCGTATAGTGCTGATGTAACAGACAACGAAAGTTTCCATTTTGCCTGGTGAACGATTGAATTCGCAGAAGAAATATAACGATATAATGAAATATTAGAAATTACAATTACAAAAGTGTGAACTGACCTTCGAGGAACATCCAGGCGAACGCACACAAGAAGAAAAAGTGCAACAAGCCGGCCACAATGCCGCAGACAACCCTTTGATTCGTTTGGCCAATCCCGCAGACGAAGAGTACCTCGGCTATCAGCAAGCATACGCAGAGGTTTTTGTGGATCGTCGTCCTGTCCGACTGCAAGCAGAATCGCTGGGTAAATCGTGAAGCAAAAAGACCTCATGGTCCCACCGGCGCGATTCGCGAGTGCCGATCGATCGATTCGAGCTTATACATTACCTTTAGTCCGCGAAATAATTGAAACGTTAGAATGGCTAGGACCAGGCAGACGACGGAAATGATGCAGCCTATATACGTGATAATCTGCAGCGCGACCTGATGGGCGATGTCCAATCTGACGGCGTGCACGTCCATCAGCACGGCAAAGTTTGTCAGGTGGTTGCACTCGCACACGGTGTGAGTCTCGTTGGTCTTTTGTAAATGGCATCCCTCTTCCGACCAAGCGCTATGGGAAATAAGATATCACGTGCAGAACTGTGGCTCAAATTGTTCACACTGTCGCTCGCTTTCCACTCTATACGCGAGGCGCGTAAAAATTCGTGATCGAGCATTTCTCGACCGATTCCTGTGTGTACGAAAGCGGTTTCTCTTTATCAAAAAAATCATAAGAGTTACACGATGTCGAGAAAGAAGAAATTTCGGCAAGTTGCACTGTCAGGGTGCATGTTTATTTCGAAACTTTATTTCTTGGTTAATTTCAAGCGGTCTACTCGATCAAGTATCGAATTTGCGTGCATACTTTGCATGTTCAAGTTCTTTAACCGAGTTTGAAATTGAACGGCCACATAAGTAAACAGTAAAAGGTATATTTTTCTCTTTCGGCGATGTATCGTGAACGTACCACGCATAAGACGCAGCGCAGGAAGCGCGGAAAGAAAATTGGAAATGGAGAAATAAGACATCGCAAGATATTCTTGGCGTTGTCTAGAGTGGTAACAGGATCGGCTGACGAAGAAAAAGAAGAAGGTGAAATTACCTCAAGATGTAATCCCAGAAGACGCAAGTGGGGTTGGTGACGTTCTCGACCGCCAGGTGTCTGAAATACACCCGGACGGGCTCTGAGAGCTGTATGTGCCGGCCTTTTCCCAAGGACGCTGAGATAACTTTGCTGTTGAGGAGCTTGGTGGCGTTCCTACGCTGCTGGGAATTGCCGTTCGTGACGATGGACGGCGGTTCCGCTTGCGGCTGCAGTATCTCCTCGAGCCTGTCAAAGGCCATGAAGACCAGCCGTACGATGCCGGACTGGCTGTTGTCCAGCAAAGCGGCCCTGGTAAGTTCCACGCGATCGTTCGAGATCCACTTCTGCAGCACGGCCTCACTCGGGAAAACTTCCAGCTCGTTGTCGATGTTGCGCGCGTCCAGTACGCGAACTTCCATCACTGTGGTGGAGACACGCATGCGGGGTAATTAGGCGAGTAAGTTTACCTCTCCCTCGGTGCGGTTAACGCGCTCCACGAGAATTCTACCCGTGAATTCGCGGAAGACGCAAATTACATTAACGGCGGGACAGCGGCTCTCGAGGTCTCGTGTGTGCGATGAACACTCCTCTCAAATGGGTTCCGAGAATTTAATGTCTTTCTTTTTCTTTAATATCGATATACAATAAATTGATGAATGGAGCTAAATATAGCAGCTTAAATAAAGAAGTCTCAATTTTCAAATTCTTCACTAACCCAAAGGACGTGTGGGATGTATTATACTTTACACCTTAGGCTTCTTTTTTTCTAGGTTTTATATAAATGGTTTTAGAAATAAATGTTTTAGCCCTCTTCAGTATTAAAAAAAAAATTTTTTTCCTAACTTACTAGATATTGTTCACTCTCGTGGATTTTATTCAGTATTATTTATCCACATTGTCAAAGTTGATAGGGGTGTAGTTTACAACCCCACATGTCCCGTTTAAACTTTCATTTACAATGATAGCAAATAAACTTTCATTTACAATGATAGCAATAAGATAAGCCGTAAGATAAAAATTTTACGTTCAACTTTTTATTATTATCATGTTATTGCTTTACTAAATTTCTGATTAATCACAAACCTAAACTAACAATTCAGTTTCATAATACATCTGCATCCCTTTAATAATTAACTAGTTAGTAAATTAACAAATAAAATATTATAGTTATATTTTACAAGTACTTTGCTTGTGAATTATAGCAAGATTAAGTTTTATAAATTTGTTAAAACTATTTTTAGGTTATTTCAAGTGTGACATGTTGTAATACCACTAGCACATAAATTGAAATCCTAGAAACCTATCTGCAATTTAAGTTTTCTAAAACTTTCCTCTTGCATATTATACTATGCAAATTATTTTGCAATAGACCATGAAACTTTTTAAATTATTCAACAGCTTGCTCAATAGTTAACAAATTTCTCGGACTCATTTCAATACAGAACTGACTATTATGAAAAAAGAATTAAGATTAAAATTAAAGTTTTAGACTTCTAATATACTTTAAGATATGTACAATGAATAATACTGAACAACAAATAAAAAATATTAATTTATTTAAGGTTTCTTGTATCTTATCGCACCTATATTAAATTTGTGACATCAGAGGCGAGGGACGATATACTGACAAAAATTATGTTATTTCTAAAAAAAAATAAAAATAAATATAGACGAGAAAGCATTTCAGATTGTTTAAGTATACTTGTAAAATTGTTCAAAAAGAGTATTCTTTTTCCCTGATAATTAATAAATAATAAATGGTGAAATGAAGCATGCAGACAAAACAAATTCATTTCATAATTTCTTATTTCACTATTTATTATACGATTATTATACGATTATTGATCATCAAGAGGGAAAGGAATACCTTTCGGACAATTTTACAAGCAATCTCAAATGCTCATTCTATATTTATTTTTTTTCAGAAATGCACGCAATTTTCATCAGCATGTCATTCCTTGTTTTTGACATCACAAATTCGACATGGTCGGCAAGATAAAAGGAGCCTTAATATTTGCAGCACAAACAATCGGGACTATAATATACACCCCACGTCCATTAGGGGATCCTCATTCTTTGAAAGCGTTTCCGTGAAAGAACGATTCCGTGAGACGTTTTGAAAGAACTCTAATTGCCGCGGAATAGTTCTTTTCATTAGGAATCGAAAATTAACAATCGCGACGAATAATAGCCCTCAACAAGATCACTGGTTGGAAGCAAAGTCGAATTACACGAAGAAACATTTAATTTCCTCGCCGCGTGAGGAAGCTCCCTGCATTCCACTGCGAAATGATCGATTAAAGACCCGATCACGCAATCAAACAACTGCCAGGAAGAAGGACTTAATGCAGTCTCGATTTTTCTTCCGCAGGACGGAGGACGTAGCACAGCATCCGACCGGCTGTCGCTCATCAACTACTCCCTTTGCCCTTTTCGTCCTGCTCCTTCTTCTCCCTTTCTCATACGGCACTTTTTGCTCTTCCTCGTCGTTATGTAGTTTATCAGAAGTGCATCTGATGACGCTACGATACACGTACACACCGCGCGGCTCAATCGAGCCGCGACGCACTTCCGGGAAGTAAATCAAGTCGCCCGTAATTCTGCCGCCGTTTTGTAATAATAATAGCGCGCGCTCGCGCCGCATACCCGGCCGGATTACAACGTAATCCGGCCAGGTACGCGGAGAATTACGATGGATTCGGATCTGTATTTTATCTATACCGGAGATTACCGGGTGTTGGGCGAGCGCGAGCGATATAAATCATTCGATCGGGCCGCGACGAGCGCCGAAGGCGAACGGAATGGTGCGTTTAGTTGCGTGACTTTTAAAACACGCTGACGCGAGAATGAATGTAGAGCGGGGGCGACAATCCTCAAGCAGTTCAAGAGTATACCCACCGCCCGGGAATTCCGAGCTGTTCGACAGGCAAAGCGTGAAACGGCTAATTAAATCAAACAGATTAAATCGTCCGCGATTTATTGTCCGACGGTAATAAATTCACGAATTATCGAGCGGCAGGAGTATTCGCAGCCCCGAGATGTACTTCTTCTGTACAGATAATGATCCGTTTTTCTACCTTGCGTTCTGAATTCACGCTCGATGATGTAACGGTGTGAGGCCCGAACAAAAAGCGTACTTCTTCTTTCCGAACCGAACCGCAATCCTATTCAACTTTGCATTAACGTGAGGTGCAAAAAGAGCGAACGTATATTCCAAATTGTATCCTGCAATTATTCAGGGACGGAGCACAGACGGCCATAAGTAGCGAAAGATGACAACTTAATAAAGACGGTATCGAGGCACTTAATGAGCCGGCGTGAATAAAGGAGTACATACATAATGAATGCATATTCCGGTAAATCGCCGCGGCAATTACCAATAATCGTTAACAGTACTCACATATGTTTTTGTCCTCGTGCTTGATGGTCTTCTCGTTCATGAGCGTGTCCGCCAATAGGAAAGCGTTCTCCTCAAGACCGATCAGCAACGACGTGGCGACTCTCATCTGATCCTTATGAGCGAGATCCTTCCAGGACGCCATTTGCGACTTGTCGAGAAGATTGCTGCTCGTCCTCACTACACCCTGCAGCAGCTCCGTAACGCTGACCTCCCTCTGATTTGGATCTTTATACGACCTAATATCCAAGGCCATCTTCTCGGCCATGTTCTTGATGATCTTCGCGGTGATCATCATGTCGCCGCCGTACAGCCCGCGGCTGTTGTTCGTCACTTGCGAGAGCTCCCGGCTGATACCGAGGATCATCTCGCCGTCGGTCACGCGGTTTTCCAGGGTAGTCAGCCAGACGGACCGACATTCGCTCAAGTCGGGGCTGTCGAGATGCCAGAAGGCGGTGTCGCCATGCACCACGCACCGCCACTTGGCCAGACCGTTCGCGCCGCCTGGACAGCTCTGCACAGCCATATCGCCGGCTCTCGTTGTGTTCCAGGACAAATTCCTAGCCACCACCGGGGGACACACTTGTCTGCTGTAGTCGTACCACTGGCCGTTCGAGCTGGACTCCGGGTACAGCGTGCTGGGTACTGGAACAACAGCACCGCGCGCTCGATCATGGTCAGTTCGCTGGAGTCTCAAGTAGACGCCTCCGGTTAACAGCCGGTAAACGTCCCGACGGCTCTGTTAATGCGATACCTGCGTCGCGATGTCCTCGGGGACGGACACAGTTCGGCGCGCAACGACGCCCGCAAATGGAATTTCGGCTCTCTCTCTCTCTCTCTCTCGCGGAGAGTGGCCTTTAGCGCCTCCGATCCGACCGTGCCGGAAATGCGCTGTTCGCCCGCGACAATTTACAGACTATTGCCGGGAACAGATACATTCGTTGTGGAACGGTGACGAAGATAACACGAAACGAAAAGAAGAGAGGAAAGATCGAACTTCGAGACTCAACTGCCTCTTGACACCTTCTCGTGATCACGACGGCTGTAACGCCATTCATCTATCATGCTTACGACACGTCACTCCGACACAAGCGTCTTATCGTCTCCTCGGATCCACGTGTACACGTGAGATGTTTGATAATTGGCGATACAACCGGAAAATGGGATACAGCTTGTCACCGTGTAAGACTGTTGCTGCGCTTGTCGTACACGATCGTTGGACGCGCTAATTGACTATCGACAAGGAAACTGTACCGGGAATCTCAGGTGTTGCCTGTATAACGGCCGAAAGCACGCCGGGCGATCTTGTTAGGCAAGTGTCCATAACGGAATCGTGTGTGAGTCGAAGACAACCATTTCCCGGGAATGTGATTCCGCTTTCGAAATGTTCGCGACCCAGGGGTTTCGTCGCGGGTGAGTCAAACGCGGAGAAGCGAGACGCGTTATATGTTGAGTCGAACGCACATAACGCTCACTTCTCTTTCCTCCTCCAAAGTGACATCGTACGGTCCGAACGATCGACGTCGTTATCCGAAGTGGCGTACGCTATATCAATGTCTAATGTTTCCTCAGATGACGGGGCAAGGGAACTTACCGGTGGTCCTTCGACTGGTTCTCCAGGGAGCGAAGGTGGACGTTGTCGTGGCTTGAGTGGTCTCAGGTATAATCGGCGGTATCGCCGGACCATTCGCCGGAGAACCGTTCGCAGGAGGTATTAAGTCCTGGTCCTCTTCGTCGACCTCGATCTCGACGAAGGACCTCGTCGACGTGGGGCTGGAAACGCCAGAGGATCGTTATTCTCGATGGCCCTCCGAATACAGACAGCGGAACTTTATGACAATCGCGTCTCAGATCGCGCCCGATACGAATTAACGACGGCGAAGGTAAATATTTGTTCCCGATACGTACGATGATTGAGTGAGATCAATGGCCGGCGAAGAAGTGCGAGATGAAGATACGTCCACCTCGCCCTTCGACGGACGCGTCTCGTTCTATTACCTTTTTTATGCGTACGAGCGATGTATACGACGGTTATCTGTGTGAGTAAACAGTGAGCTCAGATAGCAACGTCAACGATATCGAATATTAGGTCTTTTTCTTTCGTGAGTTTCGTCCCTCTACTTCTCGATCACTCATACCCACGTAAGGAACCAGCACTACCGCGAGTCAAATGTGATTTTAAACCCACATGTGTTATATATAAACGGGATTTTAAACACTTTGTTCTCTTCTTATCTCCAGCCTCAACCTTTCGGTACTGCAGGCCTGTTCTTTTCAACTAGTGCTGCATCTAGAACTTTGTTCTTTTTTCTTTCAAGACTAAGTTATATACTTGTTTCACTCTAAATACAAAAAGTTAGTTCAACTAAAAAGAACAGACCCTACATCTCGACTATTAGGTTGTTACGTTTACAGAAAGATGAGTGATCAACGATGCTGGAAACGAACCGCGGTTTTCAATAAGTGAGCTCGATTCTAAACTAACGTCTCAGCCCGAATCGGAATTCTAATGTTACTTTCGATCTTAACTTTCCAACGTCTATATATTATGAAAGATCAATGTATATTTAATGTATATGGATAATCAAGTCCAAATTAACGCTTTTAAACGGCAGGAAACACATAAAATGTTACTTGATAAATCTAGATTTCAAAGAGGACCTATTATCAAAGTTAATTTGTTAAATCATAGACGTATAGAATAGACTGCGTATTGCTCTATGAGGGATAAAGTCAGCATTGGTAAGAGAGGACAATAAATAGAAAGATGCTTTCTTTATCTAATCGTTTAGAACGAAGGAAAATCAATGTCCTCTATTCCTTTTACTATTAGAATGTTTGTTTGAATTGTTCCGGGAGCGACTAACTCAAAAATATACATAAAAGCTTTGTGATTGGCAAATAGAGCCTTGATGATGTCATTAATCGCTCCTGGAGCGACCCAAATCCGCTTCAGTAGAAAATGTTTTCTCTTTTGTTCTATGCCAACTTCTTTCTTTTGTTTTTCCTATATCGCCCTCTTCTAGAGTGCTGTGTGACAAAGAAAATATTTGACTTAGCATAGCTTCGTCCTTCAATCTTGTCACCAGCCGTCCCGCAGTCTATTCTAAGGTCTATTCTAAGTCTATGGGTTAGAATAAAAAAAGATTGATACAGACTTTAGAATATCGAATACGTATTAAATATAGAGGTCGAAAATAGGATGAAAACTTCAACCGGGGAATCGCTCATGTCTTAAATGTCGTACATTTTAGATTCCGTCATACTCTTATGTTTATGTAGCGGACTGACCTCGCCGGCGTCGTTATAGGCAGCGTTGGGGTGGACGGCACCGGTGGCTGCTGGGGCGGCTGCTGCGCCGCCGGTGTCGTAATCCTCGAGGGAGGCCTGACGGTCGGCTTAGCGGTGCTCCAGACACTCGGCTGCGAAGTTATGAACCACGGCGGACTTGGTCGGGACGTCGTCGTGGTGGTGGCTGCTGCAAATGTTTCGTCGAGATCGTTTTAACGCGGACGAAGGGAGGATCGGCGAGACGTGATACAGATGAGGTGAGAGGAGGACACGAACGGAGGAGCTTTCGCGTAGGATCGGGAAGCTTGTCTCTCTACGAGCTTATCGGTCAAAGACTGTAAGAGTATAATTAAGAAGGAAATTGATTTTACAAGGGGGATATAAGGATATTTAAAGCTTTCGAGAAGTTTCCTTGGCTTAGGAATATCGAAGTCGGTCCTTCTTTCTCTCTCTTTCTCTCTCTCTCTCTCTCTCTCTCTCTTGTTTTTCCTTTCTACACCTCTCTATTTCTCGCGGCTTGATACAGGAGGGAGGCGACGGCTTATCCTCCGCGTCGAATTTATATCGGACTCTTGTTAATCATTCGATAGAGTTTGAATGAACTGTCTGTACTTTGCGTATATTTCCAATAGACCGAAGGGAATGAGATATCCGCGCGGCTCTGAGGATATTGAGTTACTCTCTCCTCTGTTTTTCTTGGCTCGCTACGTTGGTAAGGGCTTATCCGCTGTATCGGATTTATACGGGATTCTTGTTAATCGTAATCATTCGATAGAGCTTGAATAAATCTCCTTTTGAGAACGGCGGAGATACGGGGGATGATATGGTGAATACAATAACATGGGAATTTTATCGGTCGAGATACTCGATGCGGTTATAAATGATCGAGATATTTTTACTGGAATGAAATTGAATAAATCTCATTTTAACGAAATGAGATCACGAGAAAATATAATGGTCTCTCGACTTGTGACGAGTGGGATAACCTCGCGGTTTTATTGAAATAATAAAAAAAAAATATAATAGGCGAAAAAGGAAGAAGATAAATGAAGTGGTAATATTGCTGAATATTTCTAGTGAAGTTATTGTCCGTTTGCGAAAGATCAAGCATTAACACATAAAAATATATACTTCCCTCAAGTAAACGTTATTTGTATTAAGTGCTTCGTAAGTTTATATATCTGCAAATTTAACATAAATTTATAACAAGCAATAAATTTACTCCAAATATATCCTAATCAGTTTAATAAATCCTACTAAGTTTAACATTTCAATATCAAGAATATTAAAATGAAAATTAAATTAAAACCAAAACTCTTTGTTTTTATTAAAGTCAAACCAATTTGTTCTTCAATGAAGTTTACAAATATTTTTGTATATAAATTTTTCTTTTGAATATAATGAGCTTTCCTCAAATTCGTGATGAGTATATTTTAAGACTGTTATTAAAACAATATTCTTTGTTAAAAATCATAAATAAAAAAAAGACATATGAGAGTTTATACATTGATTTTATAGTATATAATAAATTTATATTTAATATAATGGATTCAATATAGTGGACCCAATATAGTGGATTCTGAACTAATAGCTTTTTTTTCTCTATTTGTGATATTAAAAAGTTGTTTATTTTTCTATTTTTTTTTTGTTGAAGATAATCATTACTGAGGAAAAAAAGTAAACCGAACTTTTCTTAATAATAGAATGATATTTTTGTGTGTGTAACAAAGATAAAGCATGATAAAAAATTATTGCACGTAAATCGTCTCGGCGTTTATATGTGCCAAGTAAACACCATTAGGAAATTTGGGATAATTGATGCGCGTATAATTCATGAAAGAAGCGTTGCGAATCAATATTTGCAAGGAGCAAAAGAGAAAGGTACAGAAAGAAAGAAAAAGAGAAAGAGAGGGAATGTGAGATTAGACTGCACAGCTCAATATCGCGACTATATCTAAACGTTGAGGAGAAAACGATCTTTAACCCAAGATGGCGATGGCAGTTAATCCTAGAACGAGATGGGCTGCGTATTTCGCGGCACTATCTCTATAGGGGTCATCTTTATTGGCCAGGGAGTTGGCGATAAGGTAAAATACCGGACGTCGCCGATATCCGTCGCCGATAGTCGCGTGCGCGCAAAGGTACGACGAACATATACGCGTTTATGCGAGTCAAAGAGAGAAAGAGCCGACTTTACCTCTCTCGCAGTCGCTGGCTTGGAGACTACTAAGGAGAACCGATTATTCACGAATACACACACACACACACACACATGTGTGTGTGTGTATGTGTGTGTGTGTATTGATATATATGTATATGTACATATTGATGCCGCAGAACTGCAGTCCGATATATCAGTTCTCCACGAAAATATGGCACAGGAGAATCATGATGGAAGGTAAATAAAGAGGATTTTGGGGCATCAATATTGGAAAATGTTGATGTGCAGAGGTGACGTGTCATGTCCATGAAATTCTATACTATGAACTTCTTCAGGGATATTGACACATGTATATGTTAGGTGCTCCAGTTTTCTGCGCTTTCTGATTGAAATATTATCGAAAAGAATATAGTGAATAGTATTGTGAATAAATAGTCTATTAAATTTTTCAACAAAATATCAAGAAAATCTCTTATATACGTCACATTTGGATCACTTCGAAACTGAAGCAACTTTTTACGTCTTATAAGTTAATGGAACAAAGTCAGCAGAACCAATTCAGTCTAACATTTCTATTTGTTGGTAAAAAGTTGCCAAAGGAAAAAATTTATTGCTCACGTAAGTTCACGAGAATTTTTCCGCTATTATTTAAACATATTACATGAGCAACTCGGATATTTCCAGAGCAACAAATTCAAACAACACACCAGAACCAAATTTAAGCGAGCAATTTGTTTTTGGTGGTTTACTCTTATAGCCTTGTGCAAGTTGAGAGTCTTTCTGTTATTATTTAAACTTATTTTGCGAGCAACAAATATGGGAATAGCATGTATTGTGAATAACGAATTAGCAATAAATTCCTGTTATTGTTACATTTGATTTTGTTGTTATATATATTGCTCTGTTAATTTTATCTTCTTTTAACGGAACATTATAAAAAAATGCAGAGTAACACATTTTTTCTTTGGCAACTTTTTAGCAATATATGAGCAGCAAATAGAAATATTAGTTCGAATTGATTCCGCTGACTTTATTCCGTTAATTTATAAAACGTCAACTTTTTGTCAACTAGTTTGTTCTTGATGAAAATGCCAGATTTCGAAATGTCAAAGATATTCTGACAATCTCCTGTAAAAGTCCAAGATATTTGGACGGATAAAATTGGTAAAAAAAGTGGAAGAGATTTACTTACCGGACACGCATCGATAATGCGCTTCGAGGTATTTGTGTGTGTTCGGGCAAGGATCGCCGAATTGCAGCGTGGACGCAACGATGCTGCAGTTTTGCTGGTCGTTACACCTGGACGGGGATTCGACTCGCATTTAACAGAATGATCATGGTACACCCTTACCACGTGTACCGCCATGGATCCAGCTCTGTTCCCTTCATCTCCATAATATGGGAAAAGGAGTGTGATGCTCTCGGCGAGAGACTTTTTCGTCGAAAATCGTTTTCGTACAATTTTTCACTTTCTCTCATTCGAAATTAGCGACTCCATTATTGAATATTTTTAATCGCGCAATCAATCGTACATAGAAATCTAACTGGATTGTTCGATGAAATGTTGACTGTCTCGTTCCGTGGATCTTTACAATCTTTATATCAACCAGAAAGGATGTGATTTAATAATTTTTCAATATTTAATCATTAGATGTTCTTTAGTTATTTAGAAGCTATTTAGAAGTTATTTAGAAGCTTACTATAAATCATAGAGAGACAAAATTATAAAATATTAAGAATAACTAAATAAACCGTAAGAAAAAGGTGTTGAAAGGTGCATAATTATTTGTAAATGTCTCCTAACGTGGGCAATCGATTGGTAAGACGAAAAAATTCCTCTTTGCACCTCAAATGATCATTTCATAATCATGAGGCTTCTTCGCGCAGCATCCCAAGCGAGTGAGAAGCGAATCCCCCGAGATTTCTCGCGCTGTGATCTCGCGAACGCGAAAACGACCGAATAGAAAATTGTGAACCAACCTAAGCAGTGGTACTGGGCCTCGATGTACTTTCCGGTCCCGGGACAAGGGTCCTCCTCGAAAATGTCGCTGCGCACGTCCACCGAGCAGGAATTACGGTGATTGCACCTGCAATCGTCACGTGTGCGAAAACGTCACCCAGCGGAACGACCTCGCGGCGATTTTCAAATTCTTCGCGGAATCGGCTTGAGAATCTTGGCGAGAGCAATCACGGCGAGCACGCAGCCGCGCATCAGTACCTCGAGCTCGTCTCGATGAAACGACCCGAAAGTATAATCTTTATGAATATGCGACTTGCGCTGCCTGATTATATGCGAGTCTCGTTCCATAATAAAATACCTTTTTTCGACAGTTTTTTGTACTTCGAAATCATAATTCGCGCATCTCGATCTATATCATATCGTATCACTCGCTTCGCGTAGGTTCGAAATTAATTCGTGTAATTCAATTGGAAAATTTTTTCCGTTTTTTTGTGTCCAAATTTTGCGAGTAGAAATTTGTCAGTCTCGCTGCATTCGAGCCGGACAAGCTTGACTCGTCCATCGAACCCCGTTAGAATCGTCAAATCACGATACTCACACTCGTCGCAACAATCGACAATCCAGACTCGCCAAATGAGTCACTGGAAAATCTCGCGAGCGAGCGAACGCGTCAACGAAGCGATTTGTTAGTGTCACTGCAATTCCGGGACAAAAGCTCGGCACTCGTTCGCGGAGTTTCGTTGCATCCGTTACATCACGATTGTTCGCGCGTTGTGTTAGTGTATGACAGTAGGACAATGGGTTAGTAATGACATATTCGCAACAGTTTCAGACATAAGCACAAGTTAGGGTAAGACTCGGGCGGTAAGACAGACGAGGACGACTCCAGTCCCAAATCCCGACACAAACGGACGTGTGTGGGTGCGCGCGTTAGCGCGCACGAGCGCGTGTGTGCGTGAGAGAGTGCGTAGAGAAACGTGTCAGCACCGAATTACAACCCGTCCACAATATCCCATGGTGTATACACAAAGATTAACTGCATGCAGAGTATACGTTCCTCCATCTTGCATATATAGACAAATTATTGTGCAGCTGGCGTTCGCATCCGCGACAGCAGCACAGAGATTGCCTCGTATCGATATTGATATTAATTATCCTAGCTTTGTGTTAATTATAGTTAGCGACGGTCAATTTAGCTTTAGGATAATTCGAGAGATGAAATGTAACGAGACTCGCTAATTTCTTCGTTCGACCAAGTCAATACTCGACTCCCGAATACATCTCGTTCTCTTCTGTTCTGCTAAAATTCATTTGCAAATAACACTCCCGAATTGAGAAATTCCGCCTCTATATTAATCCTATAAATTTCATCTAACTTAAAGGACCAGTGAAGAATCTCAAAGTACAATATCGTACAAGCTATTCTTCCTTGATGTTACAAGTAGCAACTCACTTTCTTTTTCTGTATGTTAAAACTTAAAGGGATTTATTTCAGATTTATTTAATGTCCCATCATCTTAATATTCTGTCTGCATTTAATTTTCATCTTTAATTTATTTTTATCCTGCAGTATTAATTACGTAATTAGCTCAACATATTAATGACGTAATTATGTTGCAGATAGATTATGTGAGATAAACAAATATTAGATATTCAATATGATTTAATAAAGGAATTAGTCTCGATAAATAAAATAATAAATGTTGTTTATTCCTGAATTTCTATAGTATTTGGAGATTCAGAAAAGATGAAAAAGAAAAAGTTGTAAAATTAAAAATATAACAGTTGTACGCCTCAAAATATTAATAAATTTAAATTTCAATTCGATATAATAACAAAGTTAAACAAAAAAGAAAAAATTAGTCGGCTTAAAGTAAAATGCAGATACAAGTTGATAAATAGCCAAAAATTTATAATTATAATTATTTATCAAATAATAATCCGACTATGAAAACCGACGTGATTCGACATATCCCTTTATTTTTTGTAAAATTGTCAGATGTCCATTAAAACTGAATACATCATGTATAATGAATAAATGATTTTATTTATTTGAAAATATATGATGGTCGCTGCTTATATCTCAACGTTGGTTAGATTTCTCGATTTACTATTCCGCTCCTTTATGGCACTCTGGATACTCATTCGTGACGCTCATTCACACAAATGATCATTTTCACACTCGCGTAGATGTGATAATTTGATCGAAAAAACATGTGTTAATTACCACAACGCCGATAACAACTCGACGAAATATTTCAAATAAAATATTTTTATCAAATCTGGCAAGAAATTATAACGTACCGATATAGATACTTCGCGTGTCGCGGTGTATTTGTCGCTCGTCGGCTCGAAACGTAAAGGTTACAGAAAAAATGCCACACGCAAGAATATCAAAACAATGAGCAACAAAGACTACGTTATCTTTGATCAATCGCTAAACGTCGTCACCCGTCGCCGAACAGTCGCGAGATCTCAAGCTTTCAAAACATTCCGGATCTTCGAGACGGTCGAACCTACCCTCGCGCGTCACATACTTCTTCGAGTATGTTCAGTGTGTTTCGAGATGGTAAGCGACACGTATATTGCGAAGCATATCGGTGCGTTAGTTATTTCCATTGGATGATTAAAATATTATGTCGGCTGTTGAAACATTTAATCGGGTTCTCGTTGGCATCACGTTAATTAACGCGTTTCTCTGATCGAATCATCGTAACTTCGTGAGTGTCAGTGCTAATGTCAGTGCCACAATGTAGTATCCAGAACAGCCAGGGGCGGGATTCTGTACTAGGAAGCCAAGACGAAGGAAACAGTACACCGATACGCAGGCGGCGTATATCATATATTTCTAAGTGTGTATGAAATCATTTATTATGCAGGAAATTTCCGGTTTTAAGACATTTGTAACGATTTTTGCCAAGAACAAAGTAATATCCCGGATCAAAAGAACAATGCTGAAAAAGAGCCGAAATTTTCTCATAAGAGAAATATATGAAATCGGTCTATCTTTATATTTTTAGGTTTGCTGAACTCGAATATGAAACTTGAAATAGTCTAAAATATAGTGTTCATGTACGGAGCTAGCAGCTAACTAATGATATGTTCAACTAAGGTGACCAGATTTTCCAACCCTGAATTCGGGACACTTTATAAATGTGTGAAACGGGGGGTGGGGGAGGCGGATAAAAAGATTAGAAAATTATTTGAAATGAAATGAGTCATTGAAAATGATGACAAATCGGTGTCCTGAATAGCACTCGAAAAAATTTGGTACAAAGAGTGAAAAATCGAGATGTCTGATCACTTTAGCTGTATGTGTCGAGAAGGAAGGAGATTTGTTACTCCGTAACAATGTACTTATGATATGTCCTGATGACCGCATGTCATTGTTTTCGGCATTTCCGCAAGAGACTCACAAGATATAAACGAAAGACATATGGAATACGAAGCATCCATGGCAGTTGTTCGGTATGAAAAGATCGCAAACGCGCGCGCTGTCAATCACGTACACCAAAAGTTCACTAGCGCGCCGAAAGTGCCAAAAGTGCATGAATGTGAACGCGGCAGTGATGCGAACGAGGTCGCGCGTCTACAACAACGCGATCTCTACGGCGCGCCGCGGCGGATGCCTTAACTATTTGCTCGAGCTACTAACTACTCTAGACCAATCGCGTTCGTTTCGCATTACAAGGTTGCATCGTGGTTATTCAATCTAGGCGTTGGTAATGAATCGCGCGAAATGCTCGATCTTTTCGCGCCAAGCAGCAGCCATGGGCATACATCGATCCACATTGCTCCGCGTTTCTCGCGTCTTTTATCCGCCGAAAGAGAATCTCGCGCGTTAATAAGTCTCGGGAGTGTCGAGAATAGCGATATGCGATCGCCGGGGCGTATCGTGAAGACGTCATTTGTAAGTAATCTTCTCGTTTCTCCTCGCGGTATATGCGGCCGGTGCTTGTCGCGACATGTCGCGCCGACATCCCTTGCATTTGCTAATAACATCGACTCGCTCAAGTAGTAATAGAACCGGACGATCGTCGGATTTATTGAACGGGAATTAGAAATGCGATGACAATCAGAGAGAAAGAGAGAGAGATGCGGGATATTCGGGCGGTTGCGTCAGCTTGTTAGGAAAAGAGATATGGAAAGAGAAGTATCTCATAGAGCGCTTTTCGGCCGCGGCGCCGTTCATATATTGGCGTATATTTTCAGCGCAACGCAACAACCGCGCGACCATTTTGGTTCTCGATCTTTCTGCATCGAATAACTGCCGTGGACACATCGATCGACATCGCTCTGCATTTTACGCGTCTTTAACCCGTCGAAAGTAAGTCTCGCG